GTGGTGGTGGTGGTGGGAAGCAACGCAGCAAAAAAGATATTAAAAAAACACAGATAGAGAAAAATGAAACAGAAAATAAACAAACTGCAGCAGATGAAATGCAGCAGGATACACCTACATCTCCCTCTGCTGCTGCTGCAGCAGCAGCAGCAGCAGCAGAAGCAGAAGAAGCAGCAGCAGCAGCAGCAGCAGCAGCAGCAGAGCTGGATGCTGCAGCAGATGCTCGGTTAGCAGCACTAGAACCTCAATACAAAGCAGTGGAAGCAGCAGCAGAACGTCTTTGTGAGTTGGTTGGGGTTTTGTTTAATATAAAAACAAAAAAAGGAGAAATACATAAACTCATCTTCGCACTGCAGGGGGCAGATGCACCCGTTATAGTCGATACAACAGAAGAAACTATATAATACATTGTATAATATATATATATATATACATATATATATATATATATATATATATATATATGTATATATGTATATATGCTTGTATATATATATGTGTTATATAATAGTAAAAGCAGAGGAAATATGATGTTATTGCGACAATTACATCAGCAACAAAAACAGCAGAAAACTGCAGCAGCAAAAACGCGTGCTGCTGCTGCAGCAGCAGCCGCAGCAGCAGCAACAGAAGCAGCAGCAGCAACAGAAGCAGCACCAACAGAAGCAGCAGCAACAGCAGCAACAGATGCAGCAACAACTGCAGTACCAACTACAGCAACAGCTACTGCAGTTGCAGCACAAACTACAGCAGCAGCTGCAGCAGCAGCTGCAGCAGCAGCTGCAGCAGCAGCTGCAGCAGCAGCAGCAGCAACAGCTACTCTAGCTGCTGCAGCAGCAGCAGCAAGAGTGTATCGTTTGCGTGTATTTAGTGTCAATGAATCGAAGTATTTTGAAACAGAATAAAATAAAATGAATTTGTTGGCGGAATGTCGTTGGGGTGTTGCGGTGTATACGCACCACCACCGTGGGGTGTACAGGCAGCTCGAGGTGCGCATACACCCCAACGCTGCTGCAGTGTAAACACTTCTTCCCTTTTGCTTTTTTTTTTTGCTTTCGGGAGAAATGCTTATACAAAAGAAAATACAACAAAACCCTAAACATAGACAGCTGGTGATAGACGGCCCTCTCCCCCCTCTCTGTTTTGTTTTTTTGTTTTTTTTTTTTTCTTTCTTTGTCTCTGTTTTCTTCTCTTTATTCTTCTTTTTCTTTTTTTCTCTTTCGGTGTACTCTTTTATTTTGTTGTACAGCGAGGCTGAGCGGGCGACACATGATGAGATAGATGTATTTAATTTATTTGTAGTTTATTTATTTATTTATTTTTTGTTTTTTTTTATTTTATTTTGTTGCTGTCTTTCTCTCCTCTGCTGCAACCAACAAAGGCTGCAACAACATCCCTCGTGTTGTAGTTTAATACAAATGACGGAAGTGCAGCACCAACAGCAGCAGCAGCACATCAGCTGCTGCTGCTGCTCCTGCAGCAGCAGCAGAACATTTGCTGCTGCTGCTGCTCCTGCAGCAGCAGCAGCAGATAAGCTACTGCTGCTGCTCTATCTATACGTACGAAGAATACCACAAGCAGCTGCCCATACACCCCAACTGCGCCGCAACGCCACACAGCACGCTGCTCCTGTACTTTCACGCTGCCTGCTGCTGCTGCTGCTGCTGCTGCTGCTGCTGCTGTTGCTGTTGCTGCTGCAGAGATTGCTGCAGCAGCGCCACCTCCTTCTGCTTCTGCTGCTGCGATCGAAACGTCTGCTTATAGACGAACTGCTTAACTAAAGCTGCAGCAGCATCAGCAACAGAAGCAGCTGCAGCAGCAGCAGCATCATCAGCAGCACCAGCACAAGAAGCAGCAACAGCAGCAGCAGCAGCAGCAGCAGCAGAGGGTTTACATTGCCTCTAAGCAGCATCAGCAGGGGGCGGGGGAGACGAAGACGAACGGCTACGAGCTGCAGCAGCATCTGTTCTAGACTGCAGCGAGCCATCCTTTGCATCTCTGCTGCTGCTGCTGCTGTTGCTGCTGTTGCTGCTGTTGCTATTGCTGCTGTTTATGTGGGGTGTTTCTCTGCTGCTGGCAGCAGCAGATACTGATGCTGCTGCTGCTTCGTGTTTCTCTGTCTCTGTGTGTTTTTTGTTGCGTTCGTCTATCTGTCTATACACCCCAGCTCTTTGGTTTTCTTCTTCTCTCTCTGCTGCGCATTCCTCAACAGAGTTATCATCTGCAACAGCAGTTTCATGCATAGTGTTGCTGCTGCTGCTGATGGTGCAGTTGCTGCTGCAGTTTATGCTGCTGCTGCTGCTGCAGCCTGTCCCTGTTCCTCCTTTGCCAGTTGTTGCTGTTGCAGTTGGTGTTGCTGTTGTTGCTGCTGCTGCTGCTGCTCCGTCTGCAGCAACAGTAGTATCCTGCGAGCTCTTTGGTGTTCTGAATGTTGTTCTTCTTATTAAATACGAAAGCAGCCGCTGCCCGCAGTAGCGCCGCGCAGCGCTGAAGGGGATGGTGTATGTATCGGTGCCGTCTATGGTGTACGTTACTGTAATATCGTGGCCTTCTTGCTCCTGCTGATCTGCTGCTGCTGCTGCTGCTGCTGCTGCTGCTGNAAAAAAAAAAAAAAAAAAAAAAAAAAAAAAAAAAAAAAAAAAAGAAAAAATTGTTTTCAGCTCGTACAGCAGAAATTAACTGAAATATAAACACAAAAATAAATTGAAATATTAAAATTTAAAAATATAAACAAAAAGCTTCGATCATATAAAAGCAGAAATCGCTTTCCTTGTATTCACGAGGTGTACGTACACCTGAAACTGCAGTTTTCTATCTGAAGGAGAAAACTATAGAGGATAAGATATTTGTGTATCGGGGTGTATATGTCCACTTAATTGAATAAAAATAATTTATTATTATAATATAAAAAAAAAACGCAAACGGCGAGAGAAAGTGTGTGTTTTTTTGGGGTGTATGTACAGCTAGCTAGCTGAATTGAACTGAATCTATGAAAAAGTTTATATATATATATATATATATATATATATATATATATATATATATATATATA